TCTGTTGGTGGTTTCTCTTGCAGTGCAGAAGCTTTTTAATAAGATGAGATCCCAGTTGTTGATTCTTTGTACTACTTCCTGTGCTACTGAGGTTTTGTTCATAAAGTCCAAAAGATGGATTCTTTTTTGGGTGTTTTTTTTTTTTGGTACCGGCGATTGAACTCAGGACCTTGCGCTTGCAAGGCAGCTGCAGTGCCACTGAACTAAATCCCCAGCCCTCCTCTCCTTTTTGTTTTTGAGAAAATGGCCTCTCCAGGGTCTTGGCCAGCTTTATTGGGCCTGTGTTTCCCTGGACTTTTTTATTCTAAAGCCTGTGTCTTTCCAGTGCACCTCATGCCCATATTTGAGTATCTTAGGATCTCTCTTTCCCCTCACTTTCTCAGTGCACCACAGCTCTCCATTTACTTCTCCACAAGCAGGATGTTTACCTTCATTTTCTACCTCATTCCTAGGCTTATTTTTCTACCAAGATATGGCTCTAGCTTCTGAGGATCTTTGTAAGTCTGCTAAGCCCAGTATTAATTCTCAATCATCATATTATTTGATGTAATACGGTATTTGATGCAGTTGATCTTGCTTCTTCCTTGAGATAAAGTTTTTTAAACTTACCTTCCAGGGTATCACACTTGGGATGATTCTTATTTTTTCCTACTTTTCTTGCTGTTCAGTCTCAATTCCTTCATTGGTTTTTCATCATCTACCAAGCCTCTAACTATTGAAGTGTTCCATGCTTGGCTCTTGAAACTTACAGGTTTTCTTTTTGTTTGTTTATTTCTTTGATACAGGGTCTAGATGCGTAATTCAGGCTAGGCTTGAATTCACATTGTCTTGGAACTGGTGGCAGTCCCCCTGCCTCAACCTTGGGGAGTGCTGGAATTATAGGCGTGTGCCACTGTGTGATGACTCCCAAATTTGTATCTCCAGTTTAGACCTCTCCTTTGAATTTAGACTTTTGTATTGAACTGCAGTAATCAACAGAGAAGTTGGTCCATTAAAAAAATTTTACAAAGTACTTTTTAAAGATGTCTGAGTCAGTGTTCTTGTTCTCAAAGAATTCTAGTCTAGGAGAGAGGAGATAGATTTAAAAATAGTTTCAATCCATGTTGGGCATACTGGTGTGCATCTGTAATGTCAGCTAATGGGGAGCATAGTGCAGGAGGATCACAAGTTCCAGGCCAGCCTAGGCTATGTAGTGAGACCCTGTCTCAAAGAAAAATAAAATGTTGGAGATATAGCTTGGTGGTAGAGCACCCCTGTGTTCCATCTCCAGTACTGAAAAAAAAAGAAATTTCAATCCTGTGTGAAAGTTGCTGTAGTAA